TGGCCTGGGCCACCCTGGGGCATGGAGGTTTCTGCAATGTCTCATCTTGGTCTGCAGTAGCCCCCTAGAAGATATGTGGGTTCCTGTCTCTGCAGGATCATCACTTACCCACTGCCTTTCCTCCTTTCTGTTACCCAGGGAAGCCTCATCTAGATGTGAGGGTATGGGGTGTGTAAGGAGGTAGCCTGTTCCTGACTCTTCTCCCTAAGAGCACGGTCCTTTCAAAGGTGACTAAGTCAGTGCTGTGTATTTGCTTTAGATTCTACCACACCCTGCCCAGCAGCTACAAAGGTTGAGACGGTATGGCTGCTTTCAGGCAAGGAGGTGCTGGTGACAGCAGAATGATAGGCTGGGGGCAGAGAAGCAGAGAACTTAAGCTAATTCTTCAAAACCATTATTCTGATGCTCAGATCCATCCAGCTGCCTGTCTTACGGAAGTACCTATGCATTATTAATTCACTGGGACATGGTACCCCTCCCAGCCTGTGTCCCTGGGTATCTCCTCTCTCTCCACCTTCTGTTCAGGGCACTTCAGCTTTGTTAAGCCACAGACTTGAGCACCTGCCACACCCTGCATTGCCAAACCCTATGACACAAGGAGGAGCGAGTCTCCAGCAAAGAAATGATGTACAATGAAAGGTACTACAGGAGAATCTTCATTAAGCAGAAGGCTAATAAATTTATGAAAATCATGGATCAGTTAATCCATTACTTACAGCGATTAATAGCTAATTAATGTGAGGATGGGGTCTGACCCTGCCCTGTCTCTACTAACTCCCAAATACCCATTTGAAGACTTGGCTGCAAGGTTGAACCTAGAACTCACATTAGTGACTGTGTAAAGCTGATAGGATGGACTAAACCTTCTAGCAGGCCTGGCTGCTGCATTCCTGTAAGTCCAGCACTCTGGGAGGCTGAGGCAGGAGTGGAAATTTGAGCTTACACTTAGGGCAATTAGTGACATCCTGTCTCAAAATTAAAAAAAAATAAAATGTAGTGGGGCTGGATATGTACTCATTGGGAAGGTCCTGGCTTCAATCCCCAAAACAAAAACAAAACAAAACAAAAACTTCTAGCAATGTTGTCAGGGATTCCTCTGAGCGCATTTTTTATATTATGATTCCATTTTCTAAATGTTTTCATTAGTATAGGTTGGCGATACATAATAATTACAGTCATCTTGGGCAATTGGTACGTATGCATATTGCATCTCCAGGGAAAGGAAGGGAGGCGCAGGGGATGGAAAAAGGAAGTAAGATGTGTTATGTACCTGGAGCAACTGCACATGAGGAATGGAAACATTATGTACTACAAATATGTACTAATAACAGCATTTTTAAATTACTTTAAAAAACAGAAAAAAAAGAAATAGCCACACATATGTATAGTGAATTTTTATAATTGTACACTGCCTAGACTATTTATATGTAAGTGGGGCTTTCTCATACCAGAAGCAGGGCCCTGTGTCTTGGTTACTTTTCTCTCACTGCTGAGACAAAATACCTGATGCCCAAAATTAAGGAAGGAAAGGTTTATTTAGCTCACAGTTTGTGGAGGTTTCAGTCCATACTTGGCTGGCTCCAAGGCAGAGTGGCGCATGGCAGAGGCAAACGTTCATGGTGGTGGAAGATAGCAAAAGCAACAAGAGCACAAGGGAGGAGTGGCAGAGAAGAGCAAGCCTCTTTTCCTCCCTTATATTGTAAGCAGGCTACCCCCACCCAGGGGATGTGTAGCCCTCACATAATCTCCATGCCCTCTTCTTGCACAGGCTCAGGGTAAGCACTCTGGCTCCTTGCTGAGTCACATAGTTAACCTTCTAAACTTCTCAAATTGACATAATGAACAACAGCCCAGAAGCCTAAGGGCATGTCCTTTCACCCCAAGATGCAGAACTGCTAAGTCACTTAGCCAAACCTCTGGACTCCCCAAGGTGACATAATGTATCAACCATAACACCCTGCCACTCAGGACAGTCTCCAAGTCTCCTCCAGTGATGGACCCAGGTGTCTGCTGTGTATAACCACCTCCTGGTGACTGTCTCCCTATGGGACAGCCAGATACAGGCCGTTTCTGAACAGCATTCTGACGTCCCTACCCAGGAGAATCTGGCAATATGCCACAGGGAGCATCTCCTTGTCACAGCAGAAGTCCAAGGACCACATGCCTGCTGGTTCTAAACCCACCGATTAGAACTCTCCTTGGGGAACCTGTCTGGGTAACACAAAGGTCCCAGTAAAGGCTTTGGACCACAGGACTCTCTCTGTCCCTCCTTCTCTCTTTCTCTCCTCCTCCCTTTTTCTCTCTCATTCTTCATTTGCTGGTTATACCTGTGAGTCTCCAGTGGCTCCTCTTGCCCAGTGGCTCCAAGTGGCAGGTCTCCTCCCTCTCTCTGGGAACTCTGAATAACGCACTGCTCATGTTATTTTGAGTGTTTTGTTAAGCTGTTCCCTCTGTGTCTCACCTGACGACACCACTGGTCCTCACCTCTTTTCCACTTGGGCTCCCTGGGAAGCAGCTATCTTGGCAGGAATAAACTGGACACAGCTCAGACGAGAGCCACAAGGATATCTACCAGTACAAACAAGTTTCCCGGGAGAGGGACACCCGGTCACAGATGGACATTCAGGCATTTGGGCATCTACTGGACAGAGAAATAACCTGTGAAAGACATGGGACATATCTATGACCAAGTCTCTGGAGCCCCATCTGGATGGGGCCCGGGTTTATAGCCACTGTCCAGACAGGACCTCAAGACCAAGTCAGAAAGAGAACACAGTAGCAGTAACAACATGAAAAGTAGATAATGGTACAAAAGTAGACCTTGACGAACCCATCACTAATCTTAGTAATTATCAATGCATGGCCATTATTACCTCATTTGTGTCTGTGCACATTTGTGTGTGAGTGTGCATGTATGTATGTGTGTGCGTGCATGTGTGTATGTATGTGTGTGTGCTGTAAAGCAGAAATTAGATTCAGAGGCTTAGATGAAATCAGTTTATTCTTGTTCAGGGGTTGTTTTTGTACCATATTTTCTTTGGTACAAACTTCAAAAGGACAGTGTATACTGTACTTCCATGAGGAGCAATCTGAAGGCCTGCTATCCCTCTTCTGTGATATGATCATCACTGGTGATTATCACCCGGAGCAGTAGTCCTGAGCAGGGTGATTTTGATCTCCCAGGGAACATCTGTTAAGGCCTGGAGACATTTTTGGATGTCATATTGGGGGAGGGGCCAGTGCATTCTTGTGGAAAGAGGCCAGGAATTCTGGTAAATGTCCTAGAATGCAAAGTTCACTCCCTCCACACAAACACGCACACAAGAACTATCTACCCCAAATGGTAGTAGTGCAATGCTGAGAACCCTCAGGTTGGATCCATTTATTCATTTGGTGCTCTAAGATGTTATGTCCTAATTTCATTTGAGTTTTATTTATTAGCTGGCATACTTGTATAAAGAAAAACTTCCTTAGTCAACTATTTAGTTTGCATAGGTAGATTTCATAAAATACATGTAACTAAATGTTTGATTCTTTCTTTTACCTGTTTTCAAAATAACAAGACAGTTCCCCAGATTCCGCCAAAGGTGACCAGCAGTATTTTTTCTTTCAAGAATCCCTTCCAGACTAGCAGGCATAAAGGTATTGAATGTCTTCCAAATACATTTTTGTTTTGTTTTGTTTTGTTTTGTACCAGGGATTGAACCCAGGACTTTTGCACTGAGCTATATCTCCAGCTCCCCCGGGCCCTCATATGTTTTTGTTCTTGTTTGTTTTTGAGACAGGGCCTCACTAAGTCTCTAAGTTGCCCAGGCTGGGCTAGAACTTGTGGTCTTCCTGCCTCAGTTTCCCAAAGTGTTGAGATTACAGACATGTGCCACCACAACTGGCTTGCAGTAATTACCTTACTGATGCTTAAACTGTCCCATCTTTGAACAGTATGAGCTCATTCAGGTTGGCTTCTGGTTCTCTGGACACGTCCTTGTATTCTTTAAAAGTTGCTGTGCATTTGGGGGTGCTAGGATTTTCTAGGCTCACGTCACACATTTACTGTCCTTGCCTGGAATCGGTCACTGCTTTAAGGAGACTGTGTTCCTTTAAGTGATATTTAGTGGTCACCTTTTGGGTCCTAGGGGAACTCATGCATTTTAAGACAGAAATAACCCTCATAATATTATATTTCTCTCTAAAAATGGGACTTTATGCCTGTATTCTACATATAACAGAAAAACTGAAACTCAAGAGAGCAGTTTTGCTCCAACTCAAACTTAACGCAAATGGGAAATTGAGAAAGCTGGCAGTGAACATGCGCCCCTACCTCCTCTTTCTCAATCAGCCACCCTGGGAGTAAAACAGGTTGTCTCTGAAGCCCAATAATGAAGAAGAATGGACAAAATAGGCAGGATCTTGGGGATTATGCAGGCTTACTAAGGCCAGAGGTGGTCTGAGATAGTTGGGCTTCTGCTGCCTTCAAGTCAAGGCCTCTCCTGGGCTCCTCCTCCTTTGCTGACCTGCACAAAAGGATGAGAGGTGGCTTTGCTGCAGGGACCAGGACAGGTGACAGAGACTGAAAAAGGGAGTAGTGCTGGTGCACCGAGAGGACACCAAGCCACAGAGCAACACAGAGGCAGTGACAAGCTGACTGAAGGTGGGGAGGAAAGGGATCTTCATACACAATAAAAACCATACAACTGTACACCATCTTACATTTTAAAAGGTGATGGAGTAACATGCAATAAACCTGTGGCATTTACCATTTAACTTTAAAATGTGACCTTGAAGAAGTATGTACTGGTTGTGATTGTCCCTAAACTTGTCTTTAGATCCCTGTGGTGCAAAGTCACGGTCCCTGGGTATCAGGGAATTTGGGAGAAAGTGTATGAAACATTGCAAGGTAGTCCCAACCACACTTTACTGTAGTATTTTTACTGGGTCTCTTTATTATAAGTTTAGGCAGTCTAAATTGTATTGAAGAGTCAGAAAATACATGGTTTGTTTAAAGTTAAGGGTTATTTTTTAAGTTTTTTGAGACAGGGTGTTGCTGCGTAGCTCAGGTCGGGCTTGAACTTATGGTCTTTCTGCCTCATTGTCCTTAGCTTTAAGAATTTTGGGCCTATAAGGATTTCTTTACCCTTAATTTCCCTCTTCCTAAAAAATTTAATGTATTGGAGCTATCTGTCTTGGGTTTAAACTGAAGCATATCAGACTGAGAACAGCCTTGTACTTTTTTGGAACAGGTAGGGTATCTATTAGATTGAAAAAACGCATCTGCTGTCTGCAAACCTTTCTTCCACTCCCATCCCAAAAAGGAGTGGATTTTTTTCAGCCCTGCAGTTATCTCAGAGTGGGCTTAATAAACACTTCTGCTGTCTGAGGAATGGAATCCAATCAGCATGCTCCGGCTCTGGTGTTCCGTGCTGAGGGAACTGGAAAAAGGTAATAATGCTGGAGTCGAGTTGTTTTGAATTTCCCAGTGATGTCTTCTAACGAGCTGGCAATGCAGAACACCAGGCTGCTGTCTTGGAGAGATGAAAACAGTACAGTGGTCATTTCACATCCTATCATCCTTATGACAATGCGGATGCTGCCTTCTCCTTGCCAGAGATTAAAATACTGCGCATGAGACAGGCACGAGGCCGGAGAGCAAGTGCCCAGACAGAGAAAGACACTGGGGAAGGAAGGAGGCATTCCAGAGGGAAAAGCACATGATAAAACCCAGGTCAGGCCATGGGGGACTGTGCTTGGTTCTCCTTCAGGCTGGTACCCTAAAGAACTGTGAGCTGTGGTGCCCAATCAACCTGCTCCAACAGGACCAGTGAATGGTCCCACCAAGGAGATCCGAGTCTATTTGTAGCTCAGTCTCCACAGCATCACACGCTACAGGGATGATGGTCTCAAGATCAAAATCCAGCCAGTGTGCATCAGGACAGCTGGGCTAGTGGTGACAGTAGTAAAACACCATGAACTGGGTGACCTTCGCCCACACACTGTCTCAGTCGCCCCTGCCCCTGAACCTCCACAAGAGGCTAGGCAGTGAAGAGCTGGCATAGCAGGAGCCGGTGAGCACCCTGATTCAGCACAGTAAGTGGTGTCAATGCCCAGCCAGTCTTGCTGGAAAATATCATATTTTCATATTCGACTAGACATGCCTGTTAGACTACCCATCCCTATGGAGCCTCCTCAGACCCAGCAAATAACCCACAGGGGTCGGCCAGGATGCTGCAGGTCTGCACCCACTGTGCCTGCTGGGGCCTGTCACCTGCACAGTGCGGGTCCCGCAGGTCACCCATGGAAGGACAAAAGACACAAGGGTCTGCAGTCATTGTGGCTTTCAGAGGTTGGATAACCTTCACGTGCTTGGCAGGTTTATCATTAGGATCGTTTCACTGCCCTTTCTCGTCACCAGCTCTCTTTAAGCTTCCTAAATTAATAATGATGAAGCTCTTTAAACTGCATCACCAGTCTTTGTTTTTGATTTCCATTCTCTGGGGACTCTTTCTGCTCCCTCTGATAACCCTTTACCAGTCTCTCCTTCATGTGTATCCATTCTTCTCAGATATCCACTCTGATAATCATTGATTAGGTCACTGGGGAAAAAAGAAGACCCAATTAAGAAAAAAAAAGTAGAGGTAATGCTAGGCTGAACATCTGGATCAAGAACAATATGAAATATCATTTCCCCCAGTGAAAGGACCAACAAGGAAGAAAAGCATGACTCTCTCTAAAGGCTCGTGCAGAGCACCTGGCACATAGCAAAAGGGAGAAAGAGCACTGGCCAAGACCAACGATGGACCCCTGGCTTAAGCTTTCCTAGGGTAAAGGCAGGGGAGGGACGTCCCCTAAAACAATCAGATCATCACAGATAGATAATTCTCTGCTTTAGCATATGCAGCCATCCTTTCTCCTTAATGAGAAAGGAAACTATCAGATTTGACAAACACTCCTCTTTCTCCTCCTATATACTATATCTGAAACACTGGACTTTCTCCTCCCACTGCAGGAGCTCCAGAGAGGGAATGTTCCGAGGTTCCCTGGGCTGCCCACCTGCCAAGGAAGAGTCTCACTGTGCAGCATCAGCTCTGGGTGGGAGCCAGAGTTTCCAGCTGTTAACCTTTGAGCTGAGGAGGGAAGGGCTGCCAGCTAAACAGAAAACCAGAGAGTCTTAGAGAAGGGAAGGTGTACTTAAGAATCACTCTTTCATGGGGTCTGGCTTTTCCAATCCAATCAGTTCAAGAGGGACATGTTGAATACATACATCCTATGTGTCAGAATATGAGTTAGGTGAGGCAGTTTTAGAACAGCAGATGATAAGCTTCCCCTCAGGGAATAGTTCCTTGTTTGCCACAAGACAGCTAAAGGTGGCCAATCTGTAAAACAGTGACAATTATAAGTATCCTCTGTGATAGACACGGTGCTGTGTGTTCATCAAATCCACTTCATTTTCTCTCTGGGCACACAGCTAAGCAACATTTCCCAGGATGCCCTGCAGCTCCTGGGCAAATGAGCTCTGGTCAATGGGATATGGGGATAGGAACCTGAATGCCATTTTTAGGCCTGGCCTACAAAACTTTTCCCATAGTCTCCAGTGTGCTGTTGTGTTGTCTCTTACTCATTATTCATTAGCCAGATGGACAGAAAGAACCAGCAGAGGACCCAGGGACCTCATAGAAATAGAGCCACTAAGTGGAATGAAGAATTCTGGGTCCCTGAAATACTGCAAAGAGCAGAGCCTCCCAGCCAAACACACCACACACACACATGCCACACTGAACTGTAATAGGAACAAAAAATAATCTCACTGTATTAACCCATTGAGATTTGGGGATTGCTTGTTACAGCAGCTAATATTACCTACCCTAACAAACTCATGGATTTCATTAACAGATAAAACAATACACTTAACAGTGCCTACTTCAGTTCAGTATCTAGTAGGTTCCAGCATAGTCCTGCTCCTGAAACACAGTAAGTGCTCAGGAATTTTACAAGTTATAAGAAGTGAGGCTAGTTTCTTTTCTTAGAGGTTCTGGTGGAAGAATCTTTGCCAACCAAAGCCTTTGTTGTGGATAAGAAAGACAAAAAAAAAAAAAAAAGCTCCAGGAATGGAGAACCAATAAAAACACAGGGGTAAACCTACAGGGAAAGTAAAGTGGCTGGAAAGAAAGGCATATGGGGAAAATCTTAACTAGCAATAGTCACTTTGCTAAGGACTGAGTGTTTGTGTCCTCCTGGAATTCATAATTTGAAATCTTCACCCTCAGTGGGATTGTAATAGGAAGGGGGGGGCCTTTGGAGAGCAATGAGATCTCATGACACTGGAGCCTCCATGAATGGGGTTGGTGACATTTATAAGGACAAACAGCAGAGCTTGTTCTCTGCTCTCCTCCAGGTGGGACACAACAGAAGGTGGCCATGTGCAAACCAGGAAGTGAGCGCTCACCAGAGACCAGATCTGCAAGTGCCTTGATCTTAGGCTTCCCAGCCTGTAAAACTGAGATATAAATGTTCACTTTAGAGTTACCTACTCTGATAACTATAGCAGCACCAAAAGACTAATACACAGTCATACACTTTTTATTGAAATTCTTTTTCCAGGCCTTGTTAAATATTCCATTGAATCTGCCTGCTTCCTTGAGTCCTGGATCACTCTAATTGTCCTGAGGCTCTTAATAATGAAACTGACTACCTGTCAGTCTCCTTAGTATGATCACCTTCTGAAGGCAACCCTGAACACTATCAGCAATAAAGATTCCTCTCTGTTAGGATAATGTGCTCCCTACTCTTCCCTGTCCTTAGAACACCACTCATTGGGGACAATTCAAATACAGTTTGGTTCCAGCCTTCCTGTTGCCTGTAGCCTAGCAGGAGACTGTGACAGCTACAAATCATGAGTGTGAGGAGCAACCAACGTAAGAAGTGGGTTTGCCAGAGAAATGGTAGTGGAACGTTACTTTGCAGGGCCAGAGCTAGGATTCTGTTACTTGTGGAAGAGGGAACTCTTCCCCACTGCCCAGGGTCAGGACACTTGCCAGAAGCAGGAGACTACAAGCAGCTCCCAGTGGCTGGGGGCAAAGACCCACCTAGCAAACAGCCCCTGACAGATGATCAGACTAGACAGAGGACAAAAATCAATTACAGAGGAATCTTTATCCATTTGCCAATAAGAAGCCAACAAAGCATTCCTTTTCTTCCTTTGTTTTACAACTTTATTGAGAAAAAATTCCGATAACAAACAATTTACTCATTTAAAGTGTACAATTCAGTGACTTTCCGTATATTCACAGAACTGTGCATTCCTCGCCCACATCTCTTGGGAGCCTTATCATTATCTCAAAAAGAAGCCCTGTACCCCTTAACTGTCACACTCCGGTCTTCCTCCTAAGTATGTAAGTAGAAGCAGCAAAGGGGTTTAAACAGAAGACTGAAAAAGTTAGAATCCCATTTTTAAAAGACCACTCTCTGACCTACATTCCCACCACTATCCAAGGTCCAGCTTGGCTCACACAAACATGAATTTATTCGATCATCCTTCCAGGACCCTCACTCCTCACCATCTGTAGCCACCCAAACGCTCCCACCTGCACACCCGGCCCACAAAGACCCAGACTCTGGCTTCCTGCCTTGCCAAGAAATGCCCAAGAAGAAACTGGGGAGAGGGCTTGACCTTGGGCAAGTTCATACATCTTGGGTTCTGTCTCCAGATGACTGGACTGGGCAGATATGTCCTCCAGGCACTCTGATGGGCCTACTTCTCATACCTGGGGGTCAGGTTGTTCCAGAACAGAAGAGGGAGGGATGGGTCTGTCTATGTGGTTTAGCAGCTGGTACCAGCTCCGCCCACCAAAACTGGAAAAGTTGGCAAGTCCCAGGGATGTGCCAGGCCTGCAGCCCCCTGGTGCTCAGCACTCAGGTCTACATGGAAAAGGGGCCAATGCACTGAGTTCCAGGCCTACCGCAAACCCCTTTGCAGAAACTTCAGGGCTCAGAGGGTTTAAGAGTAAATTATGTCTTAATCACCATCTCAGGATGAATGGAGAAGATCTGAGTAACATTAACCTGGAGGATGGGGTGCAGGAGGCATGAGATGTAGGTGAGATGGGAAGAAAAAGAAGACAGGATGACAACAAAATACAAAGAGCAGTAGAAATAGCCAAATTCAGAGGCATCAGCTATACGGCAGGTGCATCTTTTGTCCTCTGCTCACTCTGGCTGAACAGGCCCATGTGGCTCAGGAAGCTTAAGAGTGTTTCCTTTTTTGTTGTTTGTTTTGGTTTGGTTTTTTTCCCTGTCAGTATTAGGAAATAAACCAGGGCCTTTTCTCAGAGCTACATCCTTAACCCATTTTTAAATTTCTGAAACAGGGTTTTGCTAACTTGCCCAGGCTGTGCTCAAATTTGCAATAGTCCTGTCTCAGCCTCCCAGAGGGCTGGGATTATAGGCATGTGCCACCATACCCAGGTTGATCATGTGATATATATGCAAAAGAAAATAGTTCTGCAGAGCTAGATCTCCTGCACCAGTAAGCCAGGCCCATGCTCCTAAGGCTTGATCAGTTGGAAGGTTACAAATGGTTAAAGCACCTCCACGTAGCCCACCTTCTAAACAGGGAGTGATAGGAACTTCAGCTGAGTGTGCATTCTATCTGGGTTTGGGCTGCTTGGAATGCTCTCTGAAGACTAAACCTGTAGCAGACTGGAAAAATACTAAGTCATTGTGGTAGTCAAGTGTTCACTGCTGTGACAAAGGAGGAAAAAATTGTTTAGGCTCATGGTTTCAGAGGTTGCAGTCTGTGGTCACTTGGCTCCATTGCTTCTATGTTCATGGTGAGGTGAGGCTATGATGGAGCAAGCTGCTCACTTCCAGAGACTGGGAAGCAGAGAGAGCAAGAGCCTGTGTTGATTGGCTTCCTCCTTCATCTTTTGTTCCATCAGGGCCCCTATCCTATTGGATGCTGCCACTCACTTTCAGGGTGGGTCTTCCTCCTCAGTTTGCTGTCCCACATGCCAATCATCTCTGGAAACAGGAAACACCCCACAGACATACTCATAAATACACTTCCCTAACCTCAGCATCTGTCAGTGCAGTCAAGCTGACCATCAAGATTAACTGCCACAGTCATCTTGGGTTTTTAGCAAACATCTTCAAAATTGAGATACCCAGGGAAGAAAAGTAGTGTTACATGACAAGTACTCTGTAATGGAAAGAGTGGAGGCTTCTAGTACAGTACAGAACCCTGGTTTCTGAATCTGGATTCTAGACTGGCCAGGAATCCACTGGTCTTCTCATCTATCAAATGAAGGCTTGAATTATCAGAGATTAAAGAACACTTTTGGCTGTAATTTTAAGTGCTCTACTGCACTAAAGTATATGGTACGTTCTTTGGGTGTGAATTTTCTCAGGAAGAAAATGAAGTAATCAAATATATTCATGGTAATAACATTTGAGTGGGTACCATGAGCTCTAGCAAATCACTTTAACTTGTTAACTCTTTTGATCCCCATACCAGTGCTATCACAGGGTAATATTAATGGCTCCAAAACCAGACCATAGAGAGATAAGTAGTCAACTGCTACTTATTTCTCCTTGGATG